CTCTTGAAATTGGAAAAAGTTGTTGGTTTTCGGTTGTCTTTTTTATTGGTGTGTCCTGTACTGACGTTGTGCCAGTTGCTTTCGGTTGCACTATTTATTGTTCAATTTCTTAGTATCAAAAATCAAACTAAAGTGTACCATTAGTACCTTTACCAATTGTTTCATTTCATCCTGAACATAATTACGTTGTTTTCCAGTTGCTTCATTTTGAAATGCACTTTGCAACAACTAATATTAAGATAATAAAATTTGCTTGAGCGCAATCATAACCGTAATGGACGGTACCATCAATATTGCAATATTAATATCTAATATTATATTCGGCTTAATCGCCTTATTTGAATACTCTCACTTCATTGCGCTATTAGATTCTGCCGTTGTTATCAACGTTCCGTGATTCACTAGAAAGACTTGCAGAAAAGGCATCGCATGATTCAAAAGTTGGTATTAAGCATGCTCGGCACATCTTAAGTCCGCACGACGATGGACCAAGAGTGCCTTCCGACAATATTATTGGATGACAATTTAATGTGATTCAGAAATTGGGATTTTGAATTCCAATATTATATTATTCAAAAATTTATCAACATGACCCTGGTATATCGCGACGAACTTTTATTCACAACGAGGTGCTCACTAAAGCCCTGTTTAAGCTGGTTTTATCTGTTTACAATACAGTTGGATACACGAAAGATGGCGCGTGCACAAAATTTATAGCTCATGGCACGTGATAATTAGTATAATATTCATGAAAGTAGAATAATAACAGGTTATTACTAAATAGAAGAAATTCACAAAGCAGGATTCGTGCGAATTGGTGGTTACTCAGATAAATTGTGGATTCCAGTTTTTGTGATTTCTTGGTCAACAGCGTTGATATTATTAATCTGCTGAGGTTGTTACACTCTTAATTCAATTTGTATTTTACAAAATTCCTTCACTTTTTACGAGATTTTAGGTGCCAGATGGGCTCCAAACGACTTGCACGAAAACTCGTTAACGTATGAATGGCGTTCCCGACAAAACAGGCTGATTAACGCGTGTAACTATCTCAAATTCTGTTTTGATTTGTTCAAGAATGGAGTTACGAACATGAGAAATTTTAAACGTCCTGTACGATTCATTATCATTGGAATTCGCTTAAACCAGATCGACCTATGAATTAATGTTACTGATAATAATAATGGTTCAAGGTTTAAATTTGCAGCCTATCCGCTATGCTATCAACATTTTACGCAATCCAAAGCTTCTAGTTCCTACTATCGTTACCAGAGGTAAAACCAACAAATCACCTGAAGTTTGTTAACATTCCTCGGATCATTTTGTAACATCAAACGCAGACATTCGGTTTATCTCTTTCAATAGGCTAAAACAATTTGGAATCAAAGTCTTGGTATGCGATAAAGACAACACACTTACCCTTCCGTACGATCCTCATTTACATAAACCCTTTGAGGTACCGTTTTATGATTTATGCCTCGTTAAAAATAAAACTTGCTCATGAAATATTCGATTTCTCGTAGGATGCATGGAAGCAAGCGCTTGATGAATTCGGTAGAGATAACGTGGTGATAATATCGAACTCGGCTGGTACGCCGGATGACCCAGATTTCTCAAAGGTATTTTACGTATGTCATTAGTAAGTCCGGATAAAGTATATCAGTTACATGATTGCTTTTCTTTCCCAACAAAGGCACGAGAAATTGAACAGTCTATAGGCAAGTCCCCACAATCCCTTTCCAATCTTTTTATGCATTTATTATTTATCGCGCAACTATCACATTGTAGGCGTGCCAGTTCTACGTCATAAAATTAAGGTATGTCATGCCATTAACAGTTCGTTATCTTTTATATCACTCAACAGTCTTTTTCACTTTACAGAAACCAGGGACACCGTTTTCTGCAGTCCGTTCACACTTCCAGCATCATACTTCGCTACGTCCACACGAGGCCGTCGTTATCGGAGATCGACTACTTACAGACGTGCTGTTTGGTAATGTGAATGGAATGCCTAGCATTCTAGTCACGGACGTGCCCAGTGAGCTTGGGGATAATCCTTCTGCCGTTAAGGTAAATTGTCGACAATATTTGGCTGGAAAAATGGTCGTATTTCTGAACAGAATGGTTAGCCGCTGATTTGCAATTTTTAGATTCGAAGAGCAGAACATCGTCTTGTTCAATGGATGGTAAAGAAGGGAATCGAACCACTAGGATCAAAGGAACGGGGAGAATTACGTAAAGTGATGAGTGAGAGGGATGTGACTCGTGAAATATGACGCTTTCTGAACTATTCAATAACATTGCATATCCCTTACTTCATTCTGTCTTTTTCGTATAAAAAAATGTGTAAAATTGTTACGAGCGTTCAAGCCATTAATTCTTCAATAGGTTACCGCCTTTTCCATAGTTTTATTGACAAAAATCCAGCAATTATCGCCATAATGCCCCCAAATCTTAGTACAAACCCAATGGAATCGGGATCTGCATTCTCATGAGAAGTTGTGCCTTCAAATACTGCAAACACTATGCTACTAAAGATGTTAACCAGGAATTGTGGTAATACAACATACATATTAGAAATTCCCAACAAGGTGCCAGCCGCATCCCCTGGCGATTGGGAAGATTTATCCATAGAACGTTGAGATTGAAAACTAACGCGTGATGCGTTGGCAGAGAACGTTAACGGGACATCCCCTTCATCGTCAGCCACTAGATCCTCATCGGCATCTGTTGACTTTGTCTGAGTCTGTACTAGTCTATAAGTTGATTCGTCGGACCTACGGGCCTCCCCGTTCTCTGGCATAATCCCGTTTGCTCGCTGTTCTTCGGATATATATTCCCCCAGAATGCAAAATGGTGCCCACATTGAGGTAGCCCATGATATACCCACAATCGCTAATAATGTGCTGGCACCCGCTACGTTTATTACAAACCAAGTAGACAACATGCAAATTGCAAATATGAAGTGTGTCACCGTCCATAATTTTGGTAAAGTAAGGAATGGCAATGGCAGTCTACAATGCTGCCACGAGAAATTTTCGCTTGATACCGATGACCCCGATGGAGTGACTAAGAAAGGCAGTCCTATTGACGCAACTAAACTCACAAGAGCATGCAGCAAAAGGGCAAATGAGCCGGCACGTTCTGCAGCGCCGATCGTATGCTCTGTCGAGTCGCCTGATGCACGTCTGTAGATTGCTGCTACCCAAGTTGACGAGTAGAATAAAAATGGAAACCAGCCGATCCATGCAAAAAATTGGACGTTGCATAGTTGTTGAACAGGTTCAGGGAGATTGCGTATTGAACGGAAAATGGTCGTTATGGTGTCAATTGCTGATCGAAAGACCGTCTTTGGAGAACTAATATGAGACAGCTAGTTAGTTGCCAGTATAAATGATATCATCTGTTTTACCAACAAATTACCTTCCATGACTGCTATAAACCCGTTCCGTTACTGCCCAAAAAATTATAGCATTCGAAGATAGCAATATGATAGAAGCAAAAACACAAAGTACTTTCAATTGGCTGTTCCCAAATATAGCAGCCAAGTCAACAAATCCCCTAAAATTTATAAATGGAAGTGACTGTTCAGCATTGCATCGATGATGAAACATTTACGTTCCCAATGTTTGCTTACATAAAATAGCCAAATACATTCCCAGCTCCAACCATTATCCCTGCCCAAGCTGTCCCTTCCTCTTGTTGTGACGAAGGTAGACTATCAATAAGCAATGCTCTACAACTTGCCTGTACTGTTTAACAGACGTTTTCGGTCAGTTTACCTTGAATAAAAGTAACAAACCAAACCAACACAAAAGCTTACCGGCATTAATCGCAAAATCAAGGCTGTAAAGGGAAAGAATAGCAACCCATATTGTTATTGGTGTACCCTGAATGTAAAAGTAGCGAGACCCTGTAAGCTATAGATAAATCATCACACGTACGCGAGCATTCTATGCAACGTACCTCTCCGAATAGTCCTTCTACCATATCTTTTGTCCAACCAATAAATATAAAAGCAAACACCACGGCAATACTCCCACCAAGTATAAACGGCCTTCGCCTGCCGAATCTTGATGTCGATTTGTCGGATAAGGCCCCGACAATTGGTTGCGTTATTAAACCTAGGAATTAATAAGATAATTTAACTACCAATTTACATTATTACAGTGTAGTCGCATTTTTTTGATAATAACCTGATAAAGGTCCAGCAAGCCAAACCATAGCCGTGTGGGATTTATGCATACCTAAAGAAAGAAGATAAGGCGTACCTACAAAAGCAAGTGACGCGTACGTTATATGGATTGTATTTTGCAGTAGATCATCGAGAATGCAAACAGATCACGAACATTACCGTACGCGAGTTCAACCGCCCCTATCGACCAATTAAAGAAGGATTTTTAGTCCAACAAATTTTGTTCATTGCATATTCAAAAACACAACTTACATGCGAACTGAAGCCTACAAGAAGTGAATAATCAAATCAGTTCGCAAATACCATTTTCCATTCTTATAAATGAGTTTTCAAACTCACCCTGCAAAGAGTTGTGTCAACAATACCATTCTCACGGTTTTACTCTTGCCTCTTACCCCCGGTTTATTTGAATAAGCTTTTGGTGTGTTCTCGTCATCGAATATCTCAAATGCCGTTTCTGTTTGTTCCTGACCGACTATGCCGTTTGCCGAGATATCTACCAGAGAACTGGAACTTGAAGAAGGAGAAATTGACGAACGTTGGGAATCTGTGAGCGCAGTGGACTCGTCCATTATTTTAACGAGTAAGAAGAGTGACTGGATTCAGGATTACGTTTGGGAAGACGTTTTAAAACGATTCTTTTTAATTAATCGCCACACGTTATATTTATTTATATTAATACGTGAATATATAAAATAACTCGTGTAAGGTAGCAGATGCAGTAATATCGCCTATTTGCGACACCGCAACTAACCCAATTTGTTTAGAATAACATCATTGATTCAGCCCAGACATTCTCTTCT